GAGGCTTGCTGGGGAGCGGACTTCAAGACAGAGGAGTGCCTCAGTCATCCCAGGAGAAGCTGATTCCCTGCCCAGGGTTGGATCTGTGCAATCAGGGACACAGGTACCCAGGGAAAGAATGAGGAGGGGTTGGGAAGCGAGCTGGGAGAACCTGCCTGGTCAGGGGCCTGCAGAGGGAAGGTCTCCGTTTGGGCGGGAAAGGCTTGTACTGCAGAGACAGGTCTGCAGAGTGAATCGCCTGTCTGCATGTGGAGGTGCTGGGGGAGAGACAGCTCAGAGAGGGAGTGAGCTGTGAGAACCCCAAATCTGCATGGGTGTGTGACAGGACACGAAACCCCTAGTGTTTGCAGGAGGTGTGTTTGCTCAGAAGGAAACTACGGCAAAGAAGCCTCTTACCTGCAGTGGCTGATCAGAGACGTGTTTCTTTTGCTGAGTTACCAAGGCAGACCAGAGTCCACCTTCCCGGGAGCAGCAGAAGCCTCGCCTCTGCCACCTAGCGGTGGACCATAAGTAAAGCTGTACTGCCACAGGTTATGGGGGGCACCGTCTTATAGCCAGGGGAATGTAATCTTTGAGGTTGCCTGATGCAAGTGGGACCACCCAGTGTGGTGGGATTATTCATCTACTGTTGCAGTTGTAAATTCTATTCAAATTGTTGGTTTTATTATTGATAATATATATATTTCTTCACTTGATTTAATCATTTCTGTATACAGTTGTGTATAATAAAGAAACCCATTTGTTTATTGGACTCAAAGTAAATTCTTGGGCAGTGAGGTTTAGGGGGGCACCTCTCCAAGGTACACTCTCGGTTCCTCGGGCTACTGGCACCCTCAGGATCCAGAATCTGGCACATCAGCCAGCCTAGCATGCCGGCGAGGGTTACATAAGTTTAAGATAATACTCGAGATAATTTTCTCTCGTTTTTTCTAGCCAGTCTGTACATAAATCATGCTGATTCTTTCCACGTAACATTCCTACATTTTCTTTCTAACCATTCAAAACCGTCATGCAATCGTATCATCTTGTGCCTCAGTTATTGTAACACCCTCTCTGGCCTCATCAGATGCAGCCTTGCCTTGCTAATACTCATCCAGAATATCCTGCAAAGGTCATGATTCTTGGCTATCACACTGAGCCATGATTCCTTTCTCAGCCTCCCCTGACTTGCCCCTTGTATTGAATCAAACACAAGCTATTTGTCTTTGCCTTTGAGGCTTTTCACCGCCTAGCCTAACCTACCTGTTACTGAGATGCTGTCTCCTATCTGTAGTAGGCAATGAGCCAGCCTCCGTTGTTCACCCATTACATTTTCCAACAAACACTATACTTTCTCCCACTGTTCCTATCACGTTCGGAGGAATTCAGTGTAAATGCCTGCAAAGCTATATCCTTATCCTCCCTCAAAACACTCCTTTTAAGCTCTCCATTCCTGTGGCATCTACAAAAGATGTAATAACAGTTAGGCAGCTGGTGTGCTGAAACTGCTGTTTTCATTGTCCATCATGCTGACAGACATCCTCTCAATCTTTCCTTGCACTCCTTTCTGTATCGCTTTGTCATGTCTTGTCTTGAAGCTGGACAGTAAGCTACTGGAGGCAGGGATGATCTGTGTGTTCTGCGCATGTACAGTACTTCGCACCACGGAGACCTGGCCTACAACTAATGTTTGTATGCACTACAGGAATGGGGAATTAAAAAAAAAAAAAAAAAGTCAGATACCCCCAAACCAATGATCCACATTCCTACATCCTCTCTTGGCTTTCCGTTATCCAAAATTAAGTCACCCTTTCATGTTACATGACCCAGAATATTTGGCATTTAAGAAACCTAGTTTCTGTCCGATTAATGTTCCATCCTCATGACTAAGCACCAATAGAACTTGAGAGATGGATACTGCTTGTTCACAAATAAGTGCAATAAAAATGCAGAGCCACTAACTCCTGGAAAGTATGCCTTTTACCTCTCCTCCCACTTTCAAATTCTGCCTCCACTCTCCAGATAAAAGCTTGACAGAACTATACTTTTCAGGACTTATTTGTGAATTTATTCAGGAAATAAAGACAATACAAGTTGTTTACATAGCTATTATTACCTTGTGATTCACCATTATTTCATGGTGCATTTTGAACCAAATTCTGAGTGAGCTAATCAATCAAAGGTGATAGAATTTTCAGCAAAGCAGGTCCCATCATAATCTGCATGGGTTTTGAAATGCAATCTTGCTGCAAAAGTGAATCAATTCCTCTTGAACGGTCAACAAACATGAGAAACACTAATCCCAGTGGAGTCCTCTCAAATAAGCCTGATGTCAACTGTATACAAAGAAAAGAATACAAAAGGAGTCGTAGACTGTAATAGCGTGAACCAAACACGATCCAGAAGGTATTCACCAAGCTCCTCATCTTCAAGCATGTTAAGAGAACTCCGAGTATCTGCTCAGGACTGGTGTGCTTTGTACAATGGCGTCAAGGACGCTGATGTTACAGGTATTGTGGTCAGCACCTGATTCTGGAACACAAATTTTTTTATCCTGTCAAACACCCAAAGAAAAATAAGCAGGATACTAACATACTGGATCCAAGCAAATTTAATCATCTCCCAGAAACCTGGCTGATATGTGAAAAGAGTCAAGGAGCATTGAATAATGTGTTTCTGAAACTACACACTGCAACTAAAATGCCAGACTTAGTGATGCAAATGCAACAAAATTGGGTATATGCAAGTTTGCATAACAGATAAGAGACTTTGGAAGCAAGGATAACTTAAGGTCTATCATACTGATATGCAAGAAAGGCTGTAGGTCACCAGCTCTCAACCTTTTTAGACTAAAGGCACCCCTCTGGAAATGTCAGCAATTAATGCAAATCATCAGGCAAGAAAAATACATATGGGGAAAGCCTTGTCCCTTGAGGGGAACTACATATGCTGGTTTGTTCCAATTTAAGACACTAAACAAATAAAGGACCATGAAATTATAAAGTGCCAGTCCTGACCTGGGGTCAAGGAACACATAGATACTCACACAATCCAAAAACTGACAGACATGCATGCTCTATTTGCCAGGGCCCAAATAATACCTGGTAAACTTAGCAGGCATTCAGCCTTTCTATTATTCCAAAAAACATTCTCTGTAGTGCTTTTGTCCTATAACAAGATGCACACAGTAAGGTCTGAGCAGGAAGAAATGATCTTAAGCTTTAAGTGGGACACTGGTTTAAGGACAGGTATACTTCTATTCGGTTACTTCATTAGAGCTCACGCAACCATGAAAGGATATAAAATAACTTCCACTGGATACCGAATGGTGGCATTAATAATAAAAGGTGCATTTGCTGCTCTTCCTATCAGCCAAACAGGATTGGGATCTGCAAGAACTGTTGTTACTGCAATGAAAACAAAAGAAAACCAGGTTTAGGGATTTTCAGACTGGTAAACCAAAGCAGGAAATGTTCAATGATCAGCTGCCAATCTGCTAACCATAGTTGAATACAGCAATGTTGGTACTCATTATTACAAACTTACCATTTCTATCCTGATACGCTGCAATGATGTTAGTGAGATCATAGTCATATGCGAAAGGACTTGTGCCATTGATCACAGATACCTGTTATACAATGTGACACCTTAATGCCGATATAAATCATTTGTGGCCTGTCCTCTAGGAAATTACTTCTACCAAGCTGGTTACACAAAGTATTTCTGTCTCTAGGGAAACATTAGCCCAGGCTTAAGCTTGAATAGCTCAACAGGTACAAGACCCTCTCCCACTCTCCAGCCCAGCAAGCACCCCTCAGGTTGGAAAGGTGTGGGATTAATTCTGCATCATCTATGATGCAGAAAGAGCAACAAAGGGAAGGGAAGAAAGGGTCTTCTCACATTGTATCTGGTGTCTAGTCCACGATGGCTAAGTAATTGCCTCTGCTGTAATTTCAAGTCTCCGTTCACGTAAAGCTGGGACCCTGGAATTGGAGAGAAAGACTGCAGAAAAGCCATGCTCTGCATCACAAATGTTGACATCCTCTGAAACAAAAAAACAGGAGAGAGAACAGAATTTAGAAAAAAATATATACACATTTTCTATCCTTATAATTCTGTTAAATTTCTTCGGGGAAGAGGGAGAGGAAGGACATCTTTTCTATTTTTAACGTCAGATAATTATAGACATGAGCACATTCATAAAATAGCGCTTATTTGGTTATTATAAGTAAATGACTTCCACTGCTCCTTAAACAAGCTCTAGAATAAAACCCACCAAATTGTGCGAGTCTAGTTTGAGAATATGACGCTCCGCAGTAGATGACAAAAGCAAATACTTGACCAGTTCTGACACGGCAAACCATCCAGCTAGCTGGCTCATTTAGGCCATGAAATCTACTTCTTATATTTGTGGACACAACCAGCCAAGCATGAGGAATGTCAGACCCTCCCACATGGTACCAATTATTGCCCACACATTTCCCATTGAACAGAGTTAAGGTTGCCAGGAAATCTTACCTCTACCTAGCCCCTTGAGCCTAGGAAACTGAATGAAAGTACTCTTCCCACTGCCTAACTACACTTCCTTACCCCAGTCACTCTGCAGTTAGCAATATGGTGGTATCAAGCCCACCCCAGCCATTCCCTACCACAGGCTGGTATTATACTGTCTCATGTCCAACACAACGTTACAATGCTATAATGCCCCACACCTCCTGATCCTCGCTGCACTAGGTGCAGCCAGCAATAATCCACTTATTCACGGATTAGTTGCAAGAAGTTGCTAAATCTACATCGCCATCTGAGGAAATGTGGGGTTCCATTTTACTGGCCTGTGACACCCTTGGTTTAATGGGTTAAGGCAGCTCAAAATAGCCCCTTGACTCTAAAATCTAAGAGCAAATGAAAGAATTGTAAAAAAATAGGTCTGTGGAGGTTCCAGGCTTCTGCGATGGTTTGCCATTTATGTTCAGAAGCTGCCATACCACTAAGTGTGGCAAGAAGATAAGGGGCTTCTAACAACATAATCACCCCTTTCTTAGGTTGTGTTGTATTCTTGGTGTCAGTTGCACAGGGATCACTTGATTTGCTGCTGTCCTCTGTGCAGCCCTATTGCCCCTGGGGGTTCCAGAAGATTCGTAACAGCTATTACCAATTTTACAGAGAGCCACAGAACTCACTTAGGGGAAACCAAAGCTAGTGTCCTTTTGGGAAGGGAAAAAAAAGAGAGGAAGGAAAAATAATCGCTGATTAATAAAAACTAGAGCTGACATATATGTGTGTATCTATCTATATTAACAATCAATTTTATTTAAATTATTTTTGCTATACAAAGTTATGTTTTTTTAACAAATGAACATAAAGTGAATTCTGAACATAATACAACTTATGTTAATACTTAAAATTAGGGCTGTCAAACAATTAAAAACATGTAATTGCACTCAAAAATTAGTCGCAATTAATTATGATTTTAATCACACTGCTAAAAGCTCCACATTATGCGCAGAGAAACTCAAAATTATGCAGGTACTTTGTATGGTTAGAGGGTGGGTGTGGGGTGCTGGGGGTGTGTGTGGGGGGGGTTTAGAGCCTGGGGGGTGGGCAGCCCTGAACACCCTGGCAGATGTGAGGTATTGTGGGTCAGGAGTGAGGGACAGCAGCAGGCACCCCCCTAATCATATTACCACCTGCCTCCCCACCGATGCCCTCTTTTTTTAAACAAAGTGTGGTAACCCTACAGGAATGCAACTCAGCAGCGTGTAGAGCAGCACCCAGCAAGTAAGTCTGGAGGGGAGGGGCCAAGGGGAGAGGGAAGGGGCAGGAGGGGCAGACTGAGGCCCTCACAGTGAGGGAGGGAGTGGGGAAGGAGCTGGGGCGAATGTGGCCCCAGGGCCAGGGCGCGTCATGGGACAGAGCCGTGGGAGGCTTGTCCAGGGACATAAAGTACGAGGGATGGAGCTCCCTGCTGCTGTGCACACCTGTGGGGGAGGCATGTGTCCCCCAGATTTATGTACAGGGCAGAGGCAGGCTGCCCACTGTAAGCTGACGCTCTGTGCCTGCTGCCTTTGCCCCAGGAGCCATGTGACACCATGTTGCGCCTCCCACCACAGGTGGGCAAGGGACATGCGGCACAGCCAGCGTGCAGTTCCCAGGGCAAAGGCAGAGGGGAACAGAGCCCCAGCCTGCAGCCCATTTCTGCCCCATACACAAATCTGGGGGGCACATGCACACCATGCTCCCCACATGGGAGCACACAGCAGCGGGGAATCGCACCACCCCCATGCCCCTGAACAAGCCACCTATGACTCCGTCCCACAACCCACCCCGGCCCCGGGGCCTCATTCACCCCAGCCTCTGCCCCACTCCGTCCCTCACCATGGGGCCTCGATTTGTCGCCCCGTCCCTTCCCTAATAATTGACAGCCCTACTTAAAATTTTAATCTCTTAAAAGCTATTTAAAATAGATGCATTGAATTCATGAGCCTCCAGCAAGAATTTTTACAATCTGCAAGATGTAAGCTGTATGCTTTTCCTAGACAAAGCAGAAACCAGGGAAAACATCTCACTTTCTGAGGTCAAGCTTCATAAATATGGCAGCCCAGATTACATGCTATGTTGAGGATGCAAGAAATTGGTAACGCCATCACAAGCATTTGACCTGGGCTCAAGCTCTAAGACACAACTTCAGGAATCATCCAAGTCCTTCACTGAGGCCAAGTAATACTCTTACTTTACAGCTTGCCCTTCTCCAAGCTCTGATTGGCTCCTTTCTCAAATTATTAAATATTTATGATGCCACACATCACAGAACATTATGCTGTGACTATACACACGTGTTAAAGGACCCTCCTTGGTAGCAAAATGATATAGCAAACCTAGTGTAAACCTACATGTTTGGACAGTTTCATCAACCAATGGAAATGTACCTTCCCTTACATCAGTAATTCTCAATCTGGGTGTCACGATCCTTTCACGAGTGCCATGGGTTGCCACACAGTGTTATCACTGTTAGGCATGCAAACACAATTGACAAGCTAAGCCCAAAGATTTCAAATAGGAATCCGGAGTGTTAAAAGCGTTCTGACCTGTTGTGGCCCAAGTTCTTTGCAAAAGAAAAACTGCTCTGTCTATAGGCAAAAAATGACTAGAAATTCAGAGCTGGCACTTTCTGAAGGTTGCTTTGAATCTAACATGGAGTGCCTTGACTCCAAAAAGGTTGAGAACCACAGCCTTACATTAAAGGAGTACAAATGGAAAAGCAGATTAGAATGAAAATTCACTGTTCTAAAAATAAGTCGTAACATAAGTCTCACCTACTAGAGTATTGCAATCACTTCTCTTTTCTGTTATTATCACTTTAGATCAGTGTTCCTCAACCCGTGGGTCACATCCCAAAAGTGGGTCACAAGAATATATGAAAGGGTAATGAACAAGCTTTAAAAATGGATTCTCCTTTAAAAGGAGAAAAACGTGGGAAACCGCGGCTGCCCCACAACTGGGTCGGGACTGGCCATCGATGTTCACAAATGGGTCGTTGCTACTGGGAAGCTGACGCTGGCTCTGCACTGAGGAGCACTACAGGCAGACGGGGACTCACGTGCAGTTGGTAGGAGAAGGTCAGAATGAGCTGCACGCCGAGCACTTGCTCCTCTGGCTTCAAAGGAAGCTCCAGTTTAAAATGCAACTGGTCCATCTTGCCATCTTGATTCTTATCTTCTTCTCTAGTCTGCAAGTAACAAGGAGCTCTAATGACGCTCTGGCCTTGGTGCCATTGCTCGTGCTGGTGCCAGCACAGTCCCAGCGGCAGACCCTCGACACCACGAAGGATTTCCAAGGGGGAAGAGCATGCATGGCCCCGGCCCGCAGGAAGGGGCTGGAGCCGAGCCAGGCCCGCGGGCTGTGCCCAGAGCAGCGCTTGCAGCCACCTCCCGCCCGCGGCAGGTGACAGCCTGCGCCCGGCCTGACCCCAGGGGCCTGGCCGGGCTGCGGGGACAGCGGGCGGGGGACTGGGCACACCCCGGCCCCCGCCGGCCCCGCCACA